GTAATAAAATCTTCAATAATTTTCAATTTCGTAAGGCCCATGCGCAGATGAGTAATAATTTGCAGGAAATTGCCGCGCTAGTGTGTAAGAATATTGGTTTATACAAAGCAATTCACGCAGAACGTAGATTTTAGTTACTAATTGACTAGGCGGCGAGTTTAGGTCCACCAAAACGGATGCACGTACTGGTTGACCGAGAACGAAGAGTTATGTACCGCACTGTGGTGAAGCAATGCATTATTTTATATGGATCAGTTCAGACGACCGCGATTTGCGGTAATTTGAATGCGATGCTTTTTAGATACGAAAACGGACGCGAAATTCAACGACAAATTAAAGCCAATTGTTCGTGTCAATTGCAAGAAGTTGAAGAATGCGTAAACTTGGAGGCACATCACTGCAGCGACTAATTTACTATAAAGTTCGTACTTAACAATTTTGAAAAATGCAACAAATTTAGAAATTTAGAAAACATGCTTTGATAAAAAGAAACTAATGAAGCATTTTGTTCAAAAATGAATTCAATGCGTGTTTATGTTAGAAAACTTTTGAATTCACCGCGTATATGTATTCTTTATAGAAAACGCAGTATGTATAAAAATCTCCGAGATAAAATCAAAGTATATCGTTTTGATCTCAAGTTTTATTCAGTAAATAAACGTTAATTCTCTTCAAACTTTACGGTCCAGAAGGATTCCAACGCGCAAAAATCGTGAAACAAACAGAAACTTGTAATTACGTTCAACGTAACTTAAAAGTCTAACGTCGCCACGTGTTCCAGTTTTTCTGTTAAAGTTGCAAATGAAAAACTAACATTTAAAACGATCGGTGCCAGTGTTAACATTGAGAAATTAATAAGGAAAAATTACGACATTTGGAGAGTGCAACTTGAAGTAATTTTAACAAAAAAATGACTCACGTGGACCGTTTTGTTCCAAACAGAAACCGAGTCGAACGACAAATAAAGCTGAGAAAGTGATTGCATGGGAGAGAATATAGAATGAATAAAAAGTCAAAGTTGATATTGTTGTGATAAATTCATCGAAATTATGTGAGCTGCATGGATTGAGTTGGAAAAGATATACATATGTCTTGAAAAGAGCTGTTTGAAAAGGGGCAGAGGATTATTCTTAATGACTCGAAATTTAGTTCACGTGGTCAGAATGAACACAATTGAAATATTTTTAGCACTGATGGTCGAGTGGAACATAAGTTTTTCAACTAGATATTGAAATGGCGTACATCAATAGAGATCTTGAAGAAGAAATCACACCGTCTGTTTGTTAAAAAGAAACTCTATACAACTTAAAGTAATCGGGAAGACAGTGGTTTAACTTCTTGCGCTGGAATGCCAATATTTGGTCCAAAATTGCAATATCCTCTCAGTTTTAAGTATATTGAAATATATCCCGGGCAAAACAAATAATAAATTTATTACTTCTTAGTAATTTCTATCCAGTGATATAAAAAGAAGACGAATTATTGTATACGGTTTGGTCACTCGTTATGGTCCGTGAACCAGTTACTAGCGCAAGAGGTTAAGAAGCTGGACGAAAAATTGAAAGCGTCAGAACTGAGACTAATAAACGCGGACAACTATATAATATTGCACAAGGACATCTTGTTGGTAGTAATAAACTTTAAATATACGATCGTCATCATGAACCATGTAGACAACTTTAAAAAAATTAAAAGAAGAATTGAGCACAGAATTCAAAATGAAGGATCTGGGGCTGCTCCGATACTGTTTTGGTATACAATTTGTTTAGGATATAAATAACAATATTGTTTTTTGGAAAAAGTAGAATATCGAAAACATCCTACGGCGCTTTAATCGCTTGCGCTGGCAACTGATTGCGGACCATAACGAGTGACCAAACCGTATACAATAATACGTCGCTTTCTTTTTGAACTCGTCGGTATGATATCACTGGATGGGAATTATTGAGAAGTAATATTATTAATATTAATAATGAGGAGTAATAAATTTATTATTTATTTTGCTTGGATTATACTTAAATATATTTAAAACTGAGAAAATATTGCAATTTTTGGACAAAAAATTCTCGACATACGTGGCACGTCATTCCAGCGCAAGAGATTAAAGACGCACAACCAGTCTTAACGCCATTAGAGCCAAAGGCAAAGTTGGAGGGAATGAGCCTGAGGAATCAAGGTCACTGATAGATTCACTTATGTATGCAGCACTCTGCACGATGCCGAACATAGTATACTCAATGAAAACTCAGGCAAAGAACATTGGAATACAGCAAAAAGAATGCTACGATACCTAAAAGATATTCCACGTCGCATGGAATAGCATATATCAAGATCAAAGAGAAATTATTTGGATATATAGGATATATATATTCAGACTGGTATTCATTAAATAAACGTCAAATTTAAATTTTATCAGTTTATAAATTTATAAAATATATATTATATATTATATAAATATATAATATATAATATTATATATAATATATTATATAATATATATATATAATATAATATAAATATATAATATATTATATAATATTTATATAATATTATATATATAATATATATTATACTATATAAAATATATATTATAAATATATATTAATTTAAAATATATAAACTCGTCGAATCGTGCAGCCTAATACCTAAAAGATATTCCACGTCGCATGGAATAGCATATATCAAGATTAAAGAGAAATTATTTGGATATATAGGTTCAGACTGGTATTCATTAGATAAACGTCAAATTTAAATTTTATCAGTTTATAAATATATAAAATATATATTATATATTATATAAATATTATATAAATATAATATATATAATATATAAATATGTAATATTTATATATTATATATAATATAATATAAATATATAATATTTATATATATTATACTATATAAAATATATATTATAAATATATATCAATTTAAAATATATAAACTCGTCGAATCGTACAGCATTATCAACAATATTCACCGGACTAAGGACACGTGCAATCATTCGAGTGGAATTTTTTATGCAGGAGGAACAGCTGCTTCGTTCATTTCCAAAGATGGTTCCCACAGTCTCTGGACTGATTATTAGAAGATAATTGGCATTCAATCTGTTTAATTACCTTAATAATTTCTGCGGTTAATGCGCGGCGAGGAAAGTAGAAGAGGTAGGACATCAATGAGTTGCCGTCTCGTCATTTCATTTAATTACTCTCGCTGAGCGTTGTTAATTGAACTGCACGATAAATCTGGATAATCGGGCATCAACGAGTCCAGATAATAACGAAATGATTTCTTAGGTAATCATTTCTTATAACGTACGTTGTAATTGATCGTCGTCGCGTATCAGAGAGGTCGGTCACGCAGCCATAAACGACGATAATCTCGTCGTGAACCGCGCAAAACGGACGATCGTTATCCCTCGTTCGACGGAGATGAAATGGAAATTGATTCGCGATACGAATTTTTATGGCTGTCTCTTTGTTCGACAGAAAAAGAAAAAAAGTAGAAAGTGAATGAAAAAGTGTACGAGAAACGCGTAAATAAAATATTCACGCCATCGGCGGATTAACAATTTCACTGAAGGTCGAATGGTTTGTTTGTTGAATCTGATTCTGTTATCCTGCGTATCTTCTTCTTTTTGTCTCGTTTTCTTTTTTTTGTTCTATTTGCTGTTTTTTTTTGTCTTTTCCTTTTTTTTTCTTGTTTGTCGATTTTTGAATAACAAAATACATATATAGTTCCGTGCGTTGCATGAAATTTACGGATTAAATTTGTAGCGCGCTGTAAATGTAGATTGCACGCGATATTTTGCAAAGAGCTAGTCGGATTTACAGGGCTTTTATTTCCGCGTAAAATTTAAACGTGTGGAATTTCTTTGATCGCCGGAGCAAAAAATAACGGGCCAGTGAAGTTCGTAAGAAGGTGGATTTTTGTATTCAAATGCTCGATCCCTTTAAAAGTTTACATTTCCTTTTTAATTTTAATCTTACAGAAATATTATTAAACTAATTTATTAGGTGATCTATTAGATATTCAAGAGAATCAAGGGAGTATTTTCTTGCTTATGTTTAAATGATGACAATTGTGTGAATGAGCAATTATTAAACAGAAATATTTCGTTATGTCAATAGTGTACTTATGGCTGTAGATTAAATCACATAATTATCATCACTATCATCAGTAATGCGAGTTACTACTGAACTTATTTTTAAGAAATCGAGATCTCTTCATTGTTATAATGTAGAGGAATCAAGTACCATGACGAAAAATGATGTATAATGTTCAGCGAATACTGTTTTTCATTGTACATTATACATTCTATAGTTAAATACCCATCTTATAAGCTACAAACTACGCTACGTATTTCTAGTATTATCTTGTCCAGTAAAAGGACTACTTTTAGAAATATCATTTTTGTAGAAACATGAATTTTTAACCCTTAAATATATTATATTATGTATAAGCTTGTATATATTATATATAGGAGAAGTTTGAAAACTCGCTATGTTCGTTATTAAATCAAATTACTATGGTCATCTGTAACCTCGTGATACTACTTAAGAATTAAATTGAAGAAGCAGAACCTTGGTAGAAAATTATTTTCTATTTCTAGTATTATGACATAGTATGATTCAACTATACTGAATACTTGAACACATACTATGTATACGGATGTTCTATACACTTTTTTCTAATAAATATATTCTCTACAGTTTTCTATTTAAAAATTTTCTATAAATAAATTTTTAAATTTTTAATTTCTATAAATTTTCTATAAATGCATGAAAATTCGTCTGCTCACGAACAACTATATAAAATTCTTTCTTCGGCATGGCAGACGTACGTATTTCATATTATCGAGTTTGGAGATTCCGAACGTCAAAAAATTGACGGAACAATAAAAAGCTATAAATACTCTCGAAATATCGTTGTTCAAATTTTTCGCACGCCTACGTGTCTTAATATTTCTAATATGATATCTTTTTGTATTTTTCAGGAAGCTTGCGATTATTTTGCGAATACTGTGAATTGGAATAATCATGGAAAATTTACGCCATTGGTGGCCGAACGTCTATAACACCCTCCAAAGCGAAATAATCCGTCGCAATGAGGCTGTTAATGAACAGCGTTTGTTCGCTTCGAGCATCAAATATTCAAGCGGGTCAGAATTCTCTAGAAGCCTGAATTCCCTCCAGGTACGTACGTGTGAAATTTTAAATTTCAGTATTCTTGGCGCGCTGATTCACGGAGTATCGAATTCGCGGAATTCGAATGCGCGAAACGTTTGTTTATTAGAGGAGTATTTATTAACGGCCTGGTTGTGTACGTTACTTAATACACAAGGTTGTTTGGCACTTAAGAATAATTTACGAGACTGGCTTACCACGCAGCATCTGGCCGGCGCGCAGCGATTTGGTCGTTAGAGAAAATGCCAGGGAGGAAAATATGATTTCGTTTCCTGAATCGGAATTTCTAACTCTGCCATTTGCCACGATGCGTTAAAAGCTTCATTCGTCAAACACACTTTCATCTTCTGTTTTTTCACAATTTTTCTAATTTTAATTTTATTCACTTTCATACTTTTGTTCAGTTTTGATTCAAAGATGGAATTCAGAGATTGAATCTTACTTTAGGGGACCAAAAATTTTCTTTTCGATAATCATTCTTTTGATCTCAGATATGAAAAGCTTTTTGTACGTGTTCTGGAAGGGCATACTGTGTGGTGTAATTTTTTAAATATATTTACTAACTTATAATTATATACTAACTTATATTTTCAACATACGTGGATGAATACTTTTTTGTCGATTTGCGTCGACTAAAAACAATCTTGAGATCTTCGAAATAAATAAAAAGTTTTCACCTGTAAAAAAAAATACGTGTATATTTTTGTCCAAAAAGTTTTCTGTACAACGTATACCTTAGAATGCATGTTTGAGATGATCAGGTTACACAGACCATCCTATATTTTATTTATTCATCGCGGAATAATTACATTAAAGATATTTTGGGTTTCAATTTTTGAGTTATCACAAATCCTTCTCGTAAATATTACTTATTTCAATAGAATCTGTGCAAACTAATCAGATTATATACATACAGAAAGATTATATTATATACAGAAATCAACAGAAATCGACATAACGTTGTATCTACTAATTTGTCACGTACATTAACATTCGAACACTAAATATTGACAGTATTATAATTTAAAAAAAAAAGAAAAAAAGTCGTGCAATAATAAATCTGGATTCATTTTAAAACCTGAAACCTCTATTTTTGAAATGCATCGTTCATTTTATTCTAAATTGTTTTTACATCATATAATGGCAAGTAAAGAGACTTTTCTTCTTGAAAATACTATTTTTAGTTGCCACATTATTGAAAATTTTTTCATAACATCTGGATGAAAGATTAAAGTCTCTTATTTACAATAACGACTTAAAACTTGATATATGATTTCTTTTTCATCATTTTATTAAACTCTGAACAACGAAAATTCAAGAAATTGTGCCACATAGCGTTAAAATATTGTAAAATAAAATGAACATGCATTTTGAAAATAGAGGCTTCAAGTGAGTTTATTATTGTATAATTTCTTTTTACAAAATTATATAGTTTCAATATTTAGTATTTGATTATTAATGTGAGCCACTATACGCTAAAAATGTTAATTTTACAGACTTTTTATGTTACTTTTGAATTTGTCGAAATCTACTATATTATTAAAAAAAACATCCATCATGATTCCTTGAAGATTAACCCAAAGATGTATAATATACAGAACATTGAATTGAATTGTAGAAGAAATAACTGAAAGTGAACAAAATTAGCAAATACACAAAATCAGTGAACTAAATAAATTAAATTATCTTAATTAAACAATAAATAACTCAATTGGAAGGTTTAGTAATCTAGTCATGTTATTCTTGAAAAGTGCGAAAACAGAAATCTGATGACTGATCAAATGAATTTACTTGTGGTAACTGGATCGTAGAAAAATGTTTTCTTTCTTTTCTTCTTTTTTTTATTTGTATAAATATATTAATATAAATATATAATAACAAATAAAAAACAGATAATATAAATATATAATAATAGATAAAAAAAATAGATAAAAAAACAGATAATATAAATTTATAATAATAGATAAAAAATAGATAAAACAAATAATATAAATATATAATAATAGATAAAAAGTAGGTAAAAAGACAGATAATATAAACACAAATAGATAATAACGTAGATAATAACATAGATAGAATAATCAGATAATTACGATTATTCTTAGGCATTGCTAAAAACTATCACGTATTAATTACGCGATATCAAAGTTGAATCATCCGCAATTTCGTCATCAATGCATCTGGCGTTGATAATTTAACCTTCGACATGTGCTTTATATTATTGTCACACTGTTACGTGTTACTCCGTCCTTGACTAACTTTATGTGACTGCATAACACCCAACGCGTTCAGAGAGATTTATCATGCCGACAAATCTTGCTTTATTCCTGAATTAATTACAACTTAATTATCTTTCTGAGTCAGCAACGTAACTTGTTTCTCGTTTGCAATTCAGACGAGCACTCGTTTAAAAATTCCATTTGTATTTTCAATCGAAATTTAAAGAACTGGCCTGCAATTACATTTAGAGAGCGAGCTGCCGCATTGAATTCTGCAATTGATTTATAATTAAACTGTAATTAAATCAATTTGAAATTAAAAATTTAGCCTGCAAGGTCGTTCGCAACGATATGACCGTCGACAGCTCGTGCACTGAATTTTCACTCGTCGAGCGTTCGAAAACAAGCGCTATCGATTACAACGCGAAGAAAGCAATAATTATCGTCGACGAACTCGCAACAGATTGCACCGCCACTCAATTAGCACGTCGTGTCGTTCAACAAGGATAATAAAATAAATTACCTCGTGCCAATTTATTCCCCCTCCCCCCCCCCCCCTCCCACTTTTATAGGCAATCGATATAAAGCAAATTAAGGAGAACCAATTTTTTATTTTTTTTTTTTGAGAAGGAATAAGAAGACAAGGAACGATCGAGAAATTTTGCGAAGTTTGTTCATTAACTTTCTATAACATAAATTTCGTTATAATATTCATTGCACATTTACATGCAAGGAGAGAAGTGTTGGTTAATTGGAACTGATTGTTTATTATTTAAATAATTAATTTAATTTATTAATTTATCAATTAATTTTAGTTTGTTTGTTAATTTAAGTTTGTTTATTAATCTTGTATAATCGAAACTTCGTTTACGTGCAAGGAAAAAAGATATTAATTAATTGGAGCTATTTGTTTTAATTATTAATGAACTGATTATTTATTATTTAAGTAATTTATTAATTAAATAATTCATTTAATTAATTTATTTAACTGTATTACCAGCTATTTAATTTACAAAATTGGTACGGATAATCTGAAATTATTTAATATTTTCTTAATAATATAGAGATATGTATTGATGAAATTCAGTAATGAAGCAATGAAAATTTTCAAAATGTAATAACGTATATGGATGTAAAATTTGTGATAAAGTTTTTTTTACCATGAAATTTTTGCTTTATAAATACAATGTTCACTAATATTACGCTATATACCGTAATATGTGATTCTTGTAGTGTTTTGCTGAATATGAATATGAATACAAAAATCGTTTTTTTATTATTATTATTATTCTCAGTTTTTAGAAGAATCGTAAATTTTCATCTTTGAACATGTTCTTGTCTTTTAACTATGAAAACTACACAAATGTTTTTTGTAGAAAATAGTTAGACTCCGCTGTAAATATACATTTGTAATATTCTAAAGATTACTAAACATGTTTAAATAATGATAAAAATGAAGAAAACATCAAAAAACGCACCAATTTTTGTGGATATTCTTCAATTCAGCTTAAATCTAAAAGAAAATTTAATTAGAATAAACGATAAGGCAGATCTCTTTCTCGTGGAAATCATGAAAGAAATTTCCAATAAAGGTCTCGTTTTTGTTTGAAAAATTACAAATAATCTCGTGAGACTTAAGATACTGTTAGTAATCCCTTTAACAATCGTTTTATGTTCTATTCGCAGCTTGTTGAAAAATACCTTCATCATTTATGTAATTAAATCGGTTTGTTTCACTGTTACGTTTACTCGCACGTTCGCGGCGAAATCACACGTTTTAAATTAACATAATTTTCAAGTTATCACTGTAAGAATCTCGCAGAGACATTTCTCCATCAATTATGAAAATTCTATTCATTTATCTTCGTAATTGGGTTGGTAGAGAGCAATTATGTTGCTCTTCCTGATTTGCGTGACACTCTACTACATTCTGCAAACGTGTCACGATTACAAGTTCTATCCTAATTATCATCGTAAACAAATGTCTGTTTAATAAGGTGAGAAGTTATTTTGAAATGTGTTATTTCTTTGATTAACACGTATAGGTATTTATTCGAAAATTTGTTTTGACGTGCATTGTTTTGTTGATTAATAAAATAACGTCTAATTATGTTCAATAATTATTTTCCACTTCTTTTGGGAAGTATACTTTCTTGAATTTGTCACTTTCATCGCAAGTGTGTATATTATCCTATGAGGAAAGTAACAAATTAAATAAAATACTTTGAGTATAAAAGTTTGAAAATATAGTAACAATGTATTGTTTTTTAATTTATTATTTTTATTATTAACTAATAAGCAAGTTAATATAATTGTATGAATAATAACTGCAATACTTCATATCTTGCAAAATTAATTGTGTTTTTCAATTTAAAACAGAAAAGTATGATTTTCATGTTTATATTCAAGACACGAAATTAGAATGAAACGCAAACAAACAGAAAAAAAAAAAACTGTTAAAATATGGCAAGTAATGTTATCATTGACAATGAAGATAAAACGGTCATAAAATATATTGTTAGCACATACTTAATTGTATTATTAAAATTTATTCGCATGTTCGCTGTAACGAAAATTTCATACGAAGCCGGCAATACATCGTTTGCGCCGTAAAACGCGTATCCTGTTTTTCATTAATTTTTTAATACAATTCTGTTTGCAATGAGTAACGGTACACAGTTTGTCCATAAATTTTCAAAGGGTACACGTCGATCATTAACGAGAACATATTATGTATTTTCTCTATCTCTTATTTCATGCGTATTCATCGTTCCACGAACGAAACAAATA